AGGGGAGGGGTAAGGGGGGGAGGCGAGGAGAGGGGTAGGGTCATTTGGCATGAGGCGGGCAGCGCGACATTGCCCCTGCCTAACGCAGCCATGCCATGGCTGTTTGAAGTGACACATCTGCATGTACGGGTGCGGCGGGGGAGTGTCGCTGTCGGCGCCAATCCTACACGAGTATGGCAGCACTAAAGCTGGCCGTGAGGAGGCTTATTTTTTCCCGAAGGGGAAGGGGGGTATACACTATGCTCCGCGGCCTTGTAGAGAAAACAAAAACAAATGTCGAGAAAGGGTCAGTGCCAAATCAAACGTATTGGCAGGACGCAACCCGAAAAAAAAAATGTTCTTGACTTTTGTACATTCTTTGTGTTCTGAATACTTGATTTCCTTGAGTGCCTATGACTGCGCGCTTTGAACTTGAAATGCTTTCAACAAAAAACGCAATGTGCTCACGAAATTCAAATGCACGGAAAATGTACTAAAATAAGGAACAACTGTTTTTGAGAGAGTTCGGCTCATGACCCCCTGCTGAGTTGGCGTAGGCAACCCTACTGCACGCCTGCGTGCGGACTGCCTACGCGTCCTCGGTAAGGGGCTCTCAAGGCGTCAATTGTCGTTAATTAGAGACAGCAAAAAATTTTCTGAGGCATTCGCAGTTGGTCGCAAGGGTTGCGGATTTTCAGCCGGTCGCCGCCGCCGTCACCGTCACCGCGCTGGACCACACTCGTCGTTGTGAACGCCGCTCCCCGGTCACTCCACTCCGGGGGCTCCGGGCGCGGTGCGACGACGACGACGACGTGGCCTCAGCGCGTAGCCGTCCTCGTCGCCGCCTCTCCTCCGGGGTCGGGACCGCAATGCACCGCAAAGGCGATGACACCGCGGCCTAGCCGCGAGCAACAGAGAGCCTTCTCCTCAATGCCGTCACCACCCGAGCCTCAGCTGCACGAGCAGGCGCTCGCAGCAGAGACCGGGCCGGGATTGGTCGGACTGACTTGACTTGTATCTTAATACATTATCACGGAGGCCGGGGTGAAAATATGGAGTTTTCGAAAGTTACTGGAATGCTCTAACAAGCAGCATATGCGGGTAACTTGTCTCTCTATCCTTCTCTCTCCCCCCTCTCTCTTTGTCTCTGTCTCTCTCTTCTCTCTCTCGCTATCACCCGCGCGTGCTTTGCATGACCAACACACACCGGCCGGTTTGGTCGGGTGCACGGGGGGGCTTCGGCCCCTCTTATCTCTGCTCAGCTGTTGGGCAATTGTTTCTCGATCTCCATACCTGTCTAGGGCGGGCCGGGCGCGGGCGAGTGCATACGGTGTGTATGGTCGCAGGCCGAGGAGCGCTAAGTTTTCAAAATATACCGCCTTTCCCGTAACAAAAAAACATCAACTTATGTACTCAGAATTTTGCATGAAGTACTTAAGTGATGTTCGCTTTAGCCGCGCTCTGAATTATTGTTACCATTACTAATTTCTAAGTAGTTTGTCCGCAGTACCCCTCTGGCAACGATAAAGAGAAAGAGAGATAGCAATAAGTGAGAGGGAGATGGAGAGGGGGGGGAGACAGATAGAGACAGAGACAGAGAGTGAGGTTGTGGTGCTGTGTGTGTGTGGTGTCGCACAGGCGGTGAGGGTCTCGTGGAGAGGCTCCGGGAGGAGGAGGTCAAGTACCTATTCTCCTCTCCTGTTGTGCCGCGGCCGGGCCCGGGCCGGGCGGCCGTCTCAAGAGCGGCTGCGGCTGCGGCGCTCTGCACCTGTCTGCGTCCCCCTGCCTCTGCGTACTGCTCGTGAAGTGACCCCGCCCGCCGCACGGCAACAAACACGTTCTTCTCGCCGGGACTGTCCGGGCAGAACGGCCTGAGCGGCCCCGCCCCGCCCCGCCCTGCCCGGAGGGCTCGGGTACCGTTTGCCTTGCGGGGCTCGAGTCAGTGCCCCGCCCTAGTGACTCCACGGCGGTGACACTATCCTAGAGAGAGATGAGATGTACAGCCCTGGCTTTTACAACAAACGACAACGAGGCGGCGCGCGGTAGCTACACATTTAAAATAAAAAAAAAAATCTTCACCGCATGCCCATACGAAATACCATTGAAAAACAGTAGTGCTCTGTCATTCCCCGCGCTTCCCAGAAGCAGCACAGAGGCAGCAGCAGCTACAACCCGCCGCCGGGTTCTATACACACAAACTTTGCACGTTATATTTTCTCTCTTTCATTTTCTTTTTACCGTTGTATGATGGTTGTCATTCGTCGTGGTGCAAAGTGTGCCACCACAGTGTTGGAAGGGGTTGAACTTTTGCTTTGGACTCCGTTACACTGCTTCCGTGCCGTGTCTGGCCCCCGGGGGGTCCGGGGGTCCGGGTCGGGCGTGGTGTACCAACCGCAACAGTCGGAGGCGGCCCGTATCGCATATCACCACTACCACGGGGGTGATCACCTCGGGGGGTGTGGCGCCATAGTAGGTACCACGTGGAGCGGGCCGAGGAAAGCGACACGTGGAGCTGGCTCTTCAGGTCATCGCAAACACACACGCGCGCACACACACGCACACCCTAACACAGGTGCACGCGAAGGGTGCTGCTACGTGTGTGTGCGTGCCTCGCGAAGCGCGACAGTCCACCTGCGAGGGCACCAAGGTCGTGTGAGGTCGGGGCGGCGGAGCGCGCACTCATCGCGCCATGTGCGTAGCCGAGAAGAGGCGTGGTGTGGCGAGGTGAGGTGGGGCGTGGTGGGGCGTGGCGGGGCGTGGTAGGGCGTGGTGGCCCGGCGGTGGTGACGGGCCCTGGCGGGACGCGCCGGAATGTGCTGTCCTGCCCTGGGCCGGGCCGAGGCAGCGCACACACACACAGCGAGGAGGTGGTGGACCCCGTCGCCGCTCGCCGCGCGTCCCCGTCGGCCAGATCAGCTGATTGCGATCGCGACGAACAAAAGAGGACGGGGCGGGGCGTGGCAAGCAGGGCCGGACCCGCCTGCACGCTCAGGTTAACAAATACGGCAGGGCGGGTGGGGC